GCGACCGACCTTCCTGTTTACTATGGCCCGAGCAATCGGGAGAAAGCGTGTAGGTCAAGTGGTTAAGAATTTCAATGCCCGTCTTCTATCCCTCGATTCTTCCTTACTCGCGATCATTGAACTATATACCATACTGGAACGAGCACAGGCTACCCCCTCCATTCGACAAAACGGTCAGACAAGGCAGTGACTCGGTACCGGATTTCTCTTTCTATCTCGTCTACTCTCGACTAATAGTAGCTGTGAACACGTGACCAAAACTGTTGGTTGGATAGAGAGATCCGGGTCCGAACAGCTATCTCCATCTGACCGGTCGAGAACAAAGGCGTGCTCGTTCCAGTATGGTATATATTTCAATGGCCAGTATTCATAGTCCGTTCTTATATTTAAGATTGTCTTAAGCACGGACTTATATTCGCTCTCTTCGTCACACATAGATTGTGTCTGACGAAGAAAGCGAATATAAGTTCGTGCTTAAGACGATCTTGAATATAAGAACGGACTATGAATACCGCCCAATGCTCGCGATCCGTCTTAAACGCTTCATCGTGGCGGCGATCAATCTTAATCGTTTCCTCGACAAACGAGTGGGGAAAGAGGGGAGCACTTTCGAATACGCCTTCGTTAGTTTTCTAATTATTGTTCGTAAGAATGACGGAAGGAAAAAAACAAGATTTATAGTTATTCCTAAGTAAATAACCAATTCTCCTTGGTGTTAAATATTTCATATTCACACATTAATTACATCGAAAAATTACGTTAGATATGCCAGAGACAAACATGAATAAAATTAAAAATTTTATGGTTAATCGCCAATTTCACAGAACGGAAATTTTATTCTTTATACCTTTTTTCTGCCTTATTCTTTGCAAAGCACGCGTGAATGCCGAATTGAGAGATCGTACGTACGCAAATTTGAAACCGGTTATCTGACACGCTCGTCGTGAAGGAATTAATAACATAAGAGAAGATGAAACGAAGGTCGATTGGGGCTCGAAAAAACACCGGACGACAATACTATTTTTCCGCAGCTACAAAGTGCAATAACGTGCGAGGTAGCTGTATCAGATGAGTTGCGAGGCACGTTTCATAGGCATTGCACGACTTCGTCGAAATAATGCGGTGCCGCGAGATCGAGCGTACGTGCAGTGTTTAGATTATTAAGTTTAAATTTAGCGCGGTCTATTGTAGCGAAAAAACAAATGGGCGCGTTCAGCAGAACAAACCGCTTAGTAGCAATCGAACGTGATTGGTTCTTACTTTCAGAACCAACTAATTAACAGTCGAGATTCAGCGGAAAATCTACAACTGTTGAGTCTGCTGAACGCGGCCATTGAGTGTAGCGTAAGCGAGCGAGCGTGCGTCACGAGAGATAGAAAGATGTCACGAACGATACAGTACAATTTATTTGAGTACCACGAGTTTTTTATTTTATATCATTAGTCATTGTATCAACACGTTCAATAAAGTTATAAATCACAAAAAGAAATTGCATTTAATAAGATAAAGGCCCTTAACAAGGCCAGGATCGCATGGACGCAAAGCACAGATACAGAAGAGTGGCGTCTGTGAAAAAGAATTATAACCTAACGAGTTATAGTTTCGTACATGCGGAATATCAAACGGACGAGTCTCGGTCAAATTTTGCATCTCTTTCTCTCTCGGCCAGGGCCGCTTTCAAATATTCGGATACATGTGACTTGTTTACGCGATTGCGAATGTACTAAACGAACGAGCGCGTTGTGTTTTGGCAGCAAATTATCATTATTTAATAACTGACAACTATAAAAATAATACACGCATTGCGATGTCATGTTTTTGTCACATTTTATCTTCAGAGAAAATGTATCTGTCAATTAAATGTTTTATTTCTGAAATAATTATAATAATTAATCAATAAATATGCATTATAAAGTAAAATAAATACATTTTAATTATGGCAAAGGATTAAACTGTACATAAATCACGTTGTAGACGCGACAAAGAGTGACGATAGAGTGTAAAACGAACCAAACCGTTCCATCTTTTTTTTATTCAGTCGGCGTGCGCGCGAGCGGGAATAACGCGGCATCGCCCGGACGCGTGGAATATCAACGAGCGCACCGGTCGTTCTACGATGTTTCTGCATACTACCCGACGTACGATTTATTCGTCCGCACTTTATCTTTCCGCTATGTATTTTTTGCAAATATATTTTTTAGCGTCGAAAACGATATGTTTTCGTCGAATTCGAGGGTGCATTTATCATAGCAGGTTTTTTCGTGTTTTGATATTTTATTTTCGAATTTCTACCAAAATCTTCAAGGAGTTTCTCGATATATTATACAATCCTTTCTTTTTGCAGCTATTCAATAAATATCTATCTTAGGGTTAATAAATAGCAGATTTTATACATCAAACAGTCTTGCAAAATATACAAGATATTGCTGACAAAGCGAGGTAAAGATCTCTATTTATATAATGTGCAGTATCACGTAAGCAGCGACAAGCTCTCCGACAAATTGCACACACACGCACCGCGAACGCTTTATTCCACCGGCGTGTCGAGCGTATGCGCGAAATATTAATCGCGACACTCGGATCGCTAGATTGCCACCGCGGGCATCCTTAATCCGCGACTGCACGCGTCACAACACATGCGCGTTGCATTAAATCACAATATAAAACTCCGTATATTTGTATATTTATTTATCTATATTCGAAAGGACATCGCGCATATGAATATCAAATTTCGCAGGTGGCAAAAAAATTTGGTTTTTTTTAGAAAAACATAAATGCATCGAGATGCATGTTTTAAATACAATGTGAGATTTTTGCAAACAAATTTGCGTAATTTTATATTGTAAAAAATATATTTTAACGTAACGTCTGTATCGCTTCCTCGATATACAGCAGCGCTCGGAATTAGTTGCACATTTTGGGCCGATTTCCGAGACAACGCTTCCTGTTCCCCCACTATCGCTCGGCCGCTGGCGGCCGAGCCGCCGATAGCTCTGGCTCAGGAGCGTTTTATATTAGAAATAGGCTGGATTGTTTAGGCATCTTTCGGGAAATCGTAACATTTTCTCCACTACATAAATAATGTTTATTTTTATTAATACATAATATATATATATATATTTAATTATTAATGAAAATAAACAT